CTCTGAACGTTGAGGAAGTTCCGTCGTCGCTGGCCTCGAAGTCTCTCTTTCTCTCTCGAGTTCGTGATTTCGACGATATACGTTCAGCGATCTCTGTGGTTGGTCTGTTGAAAGTGTCTCGTTCGGTATCAATTTTGTCGAAGTTCTGAGCTTTTTTTGTGCAATGGGTTCGTCCGCTGACATTGGTTCTTCTAACAAGGTATGAACTTTTTCCCTTTTCGTATTCGTATTTTGGGGTTGGATTTTTGCTTTTGGCCTTTGTTGGTCATTTTGCTGGTGTTTGCTTTTGGGTTGTGACTTTTGTTGGTTATTTGTACCAACAAATATTAATTTTTTTTTTTGCAGTTGTTTGTTCGTCATTCATTGAAAAAGAAGTGTATTGCTACTTTGAATGGAATTTTGAGTGAGGAGCACAAGTCCATTATTTTGAAGACGCAATTTGGATGGTTTTTAGAAAAATCCCCTTTTGTAACCGAAAGTTGAAGAGTGCTACCCAGACATGGCTTAAGCAGTCCCCAGGGGTCCTTACGAGTGTGTTTTCAATGTTGTGTGGATTGATTATCCTTGTTGGCCATGGTTGAAGGTGTCCACAACAAGAAATTTCAAGTTAGGTCAGTCCTATGTGGATGGAAGACCAAGTTAAGGTGTTTCTAGGTTGAGAGGTGAGTTCCTGCACCATTGACACAAGACTGATGTTGTTGTAATCGATTACAAGGAGCTGGTAATCGCTTACCAGTAGAAAAATCCCCTTTTGTACCGAAAGTTGAAGAGTGCTACCCAGACATGGCTTAAGCACTCTCCAGGGGTCCTTACGAGTGTGTTTTCAATGTTTTGAGGATTGATTAACCTTGTTGGCCATGGTTGAAGGTGTCCACAACAAGAAATTTCAAGTTAGGTCAGTCCTATGTGGATGGAAGACCAAGTTAAGGTGTTTCTAGGTTGAGAGGTGAGTTCCTGCACCATTGACACAGGACTGATGTTGTTGTAATCGATTATAGGGAGCTGGTAATCGCTTACCAGTAGAAAAATCCCCTTTTGTACCGAAAGTTGAAGAGTGCTACCCAGACGTGGCTTAAGCACTCCCCATGAATATTTTGGATTCGTTATGACTGTCTTTTGAAGGTTTTTTGGATGGATCATTAATGGAAGACTTCAAGTTGGAATACTTCAATATTAAACAAATATAAAAGGAATAATGAAGGGTATTGAGTAATGAAAAATTATAACAATATTAAAAAACACATACATTAATAAAAAAACGTAACAACAGTTCACGAAACAACACGTTTTGAAATGAAAAGGTACATAACAATATACAACGAAATGTAATCTAAGAAGGTGGTTGTCGATCAAATTGATTGCGAAAGTTAATAAGTTCTTGCTCTACGAGTTGTGCAAAAATCGTCATGAACTTGAACTACCTTGGTTCAAACACCTATAGGAGTTTTTTCCTCCACAATTGAGTGGGGGAAACTGTGTTTTGATACACTTGATACCATCAATGATGAGCAACATGTGTTTCATCCATAATTGAGTGGGCCAAACTGTGTTTTGATGCACTTGATACCATCAATGATGAGCAACGTGAGTCATCCATGCAAAAAAATAGAAAAAACCACTTATAGGGACACAAAAACGACTTTGGGGACTCAAGTTCTCCCAACTGGGGAGTAACGTGTAACTTTTCGTACAAATCAGAAATCAACCACTGGTAATCGATTACATGGGTCTTGTAATCGATTACCAGAGGAAAAAGGGTCATTTGTACAGAAACTTCAACTGTACTTCCTAGCTAGATGAACACTACTCCCCTTGTTGGTTATTGCTCTATTTTTGTTGAATTTTTAATTTTTTGAGATGGGTGAGTGAGTTCAATGTTATTGGGTGTGCTCCCTGCACCAATAATGAGGTTAGGTCATTGATTAATTAAAAAAAAAATGTCCATTTAGGTGGTTTTCTCCAACTGAGGTGAGGTGCATGACCATTGTTGTAACACCCCTTCTCGGAGTCTCATAGGAAAATTTTTCATTTTATTAATTAAGAAATATGTCATCTAATGTTGTTACAATGCACAAATTTTAAAAAGGCATTTTCAATAAATAATACATCTGTCAACAAGAGGGAAAGATATACGTATAAGATAACATGTTGTCAATTTTGACCTTTGCTGACTATTTTAATCATAACATTTTCCACACACCTCCAAATGATGTGATTCTTTTTTATTAGAAAATAGAATCAAAACTCTTTCCAATGACTACTAGTTTATAGTTTTTGGACATCTGAGTAGGTGCAGTTAATTCCTTAAATTAATGTTTTATATATTTCTACCACCTTTGACCTTTGCTAGTTGCTTTGCTCATGACTTTCTCCACCAAACTCCAAATGAGTTGATTTTTGTTTTGTTGGAATGTAGACTCAAAGATCTTTCAAATGATAACTAACTCATAATTTTTAGACCACTTTAGTAGATGCAGTTAATTTCTCAAAAACAATGTTTTTCTAAGCTTCCAAAACGAGTTTACTTTCAAGTTATTGTCTCATGTTTCTTATATTATTCTAATTTATTTTATTTCTTTATAAAATGTCCATAATTGAAGGTAAAATAGTAGTATAATTAAGGTGTGATGTGATTCTACTAGCACAAGCCAAACACTTATATGGACTTCACCTACCTTGGTTTAAACACCTATATGAACTACTTTGTCCACAATTGAGTGGGGTAAATTGTGTTTTGATGCACTTGACACCATCAATGATTAGCAACATGAGACATCCATGCAAAACTGGAAAAAATCACCCATAAGGACATAAAAATAACACTAGGGAGTAGTGTTCATCTAGTTGGGGAATACAATCGAAGTTTCTGTACAAATGACCATTTTTTCTCTAGTAATCGATTACAGGGTCTTGTAATCAACTACCAGAGGAAAAATGGTCATTTGTACAAAAACTTCTATTGTACTCCCCAGCTAGATGAACACTACTCCCCATGGTGGTTATTGCTCTTGTTTGTGACTTTTTGTATTTCTTGTGAATGGATGTGTTCCCTGCACCAACGAACACATTAGGCCATTGAATATATGGCAAAAATGTGATGGATCTCATCTAGCTTATATGAAAGCACATAAATGACCTTTTTTTTCAACAATTCAATGGCCTAACGTGTCCATTGGTGCAATAAAAGCCGCCCATGACCATGAAACTCACTCATCCATATGAAAAATTGGAATAAAGAACCCAATTGAATGATGAGGGAACTCCCTCTTCCAAGTAAAAAACATCACAAAGATTTGGAGAAATAACGCATAGAAAGCTACCTGTAATCGATTACACATGCACAATGCTCGGTCTTCTACTAGCTACTCGTAATCGATTACATACGCACATAACTGCCTATCTTCCTCTTCCTCACAACACCACTTGGATGCAATCATAAGCAACCAATTTTGTGGACACCCTAAGTCCTTTCAACCACTACTAAGTACATCCACACATCCTTGGTCATAAAAATCAACCAACCAAGTGAAGATCTTGCAATAAATTTCACCAAATTTGGTCCAACCCCTCAATGGGGAGCTCTTCTTCCACATCATGGGATTGTCGCTATACTTTCGGTACAAATTCGTGATTTTCCACTGGTAAGCGATTACAGGCTACTCGTAATCGATTACACACGCACATAACTGGGAACAATTGTCTTCCAAAAACAGAACTTCCAGGCAATCAACAACAACCAATTTAGTAAACCTATTTTTTCAGTCCTATTCCTCATCATTACATGGACACATCAATTTTGACCCAACAAGTTAATGATTAAACTCACTCAACCAAAAACACAGACAAAGAAAATGAATATGAAGAATAATTAATCAAGAATAGTTTAGGTGTATTCATTTGCTATAATTCTGTACAATTCTGTAAAATTTTAGCTGTATTCATTTGCTATAATTCTGTACAATTTTGTGAAACAATTTAATAGTATAATTTTGTACAATGTCTATTCATTTGCTATAAAATAAGAATCTAAACCAAGAACACATTTCTAATGCTATAGTAATCCAAAATATTGCAGCGTTTGAAATCTTCAGACGTTGTCTTCGTCTAGGATCCAGTCACATATATACTTCTTCCTAAACGCAGCCAAGTCCTCCTGAAATGAACATTTTGGAATTTAGAAACATTATGAAGACAACTATAATGTAATTTTTACAAATTCATAATTTTACCTACATTTGTATAATAAGTCTTATGCACTAAGAACTTGGAGAAATTAAAGTGAGGGAAGAGAAGTTAAGTCATGAACTACTTAAGGGAATAACTAGACTCTATATTTTTTTCTTTATTGACACATTATTTGTAGAGAAAGTCTATGAGTTAGCCTATGCATGTGAAGATCTTGAACCTAAAAGCAACTTTAAAGACATGGAAAGTGAAATATTCATAGAAAGAGTTTGCAAGTTGGAAGGGGAAATGGGTAACCACATCCATTGCATGATACATAGCACAAAAAAAGGAAGAAACCATTGACAAACAAAAAAACCACAGGAACGAAGCGCGATATAATGTGCGAATAAACAATACCTTTAGATAAAAGACAAAAATCGCTGCTGACAAAGTGACCATCGAACCCAACCGACGAAGGATCAACGACGACGGCGAAAAAATGAAACCTTTCGACAAATGACGCCAACGGTGGACCTCCCAACACTTCAATGGCGGACCGACACACACGACTTTGTCTAGATAGAACGATGGACCCAAGAACGATTTTCACAGTGGTGGACAAAGAGCATTTCGTTGGTGGAGCGAGAGTTTCGAATGGAGAGCGAAAAACTGGTGAAAGAGTTTCGTAGGGATGAATTTCACTTTGTGATAGGCGCCAACAGGTTTCAACATTTTTCTTTCCAAAAACACCCTCGAAAACAAAATTAAACTTTTTAAAAAAATCATTTAAAACAACAAATGATAGAACGACACGTGTCATTGTCAAATTGTTGTCAAATTTGCGTTGTTGAAGAAATGTTTTCCAATTCGATATCACCACAAAATCTACAGGCACCTAACAAAGTTTTCAACACCATTGCATCAACTTCAAAGGGCATCGTTTCAACCAAAGCTTTTGCCTTCTCAAGTTGCCCTGCCCGACCATAGAGATCAATTGCACAAGCATAGTGTTCCTTTCGCCGTGGAATTCCAAAATCAGACTCCATAGACTCCATAATGTTGCAACCTTCTTCTACTAGCCCATCATGACTGCACACAGTTAGAACTGCAACAAAGGTTATATAATCAACCTTCTTCTACTAGCCTTTTTCTCATTCATTAACTAAAAGAGGTCAAGCGCAAAGTTTCCTTGTCCATGTTGTGCATACCCAAAGATGATTGAATTCCAAAGAATTGTAGTCTTTGGAAGTTGCTTCAAAAGATTTCCTAGCATCTTCTATTATCCCACATTTAGAATACATGAATATAAACGAACTCCCAACATAATTTTGGTATCAAGTCCTACTTTAAGTGTTAAGACATGAACCTGTTGACCTAAATGAAAAGTTGCTAGGTCCGAGCATGATCTTGTGACAGCCGAAAATGTATAATGGTCAATTTCTATGACCAGAGATCTCATCTATAGAAATAACCTCAAGGCATCTTCAGTCAAACCACCTTGTACATATCTTGCGAAAATGGAGTTCCAAGTGCAACCATCTTTGAGATTCTTAATGCATCTTCCATTCCCTTATCATTAAATTTGATGTACATGGCAATCAAAGCATTGGAAATAGGAACAAAATCTTCAAGACCGTTTTTTATTACCAACCGATGCACACATTTTCCATTGCTTTTATGCTCTTGTGCAGAACAAGCACCGAAACTCCTGGTGTAAGTATAAGCATCTGGCTTAAACCCAAAATTCAACATATAAATGAAATCTTTAAATGAAAAATCTTCTTTCTCGTGCATCAAATAAGCACCAAGCATGAAATTCCATGTAACCATATCATGACAGGCAAGAGCACCATCAAATACTCTATCAGCATCTTGTAAAGAAAAACGCTCTGAAAACACTATGATAGAAGCATTACAGACAATATTAAACGATTCCAGCCCATTTTTCAATATTTTACAACACAACTGCTGATAGGAAACCACATTAATAAGCAATGAAATAAGAAGAAAAGGAAATAAAGAAAGGATCACTCATTCTATTTCATTGAAATCAAGGCAAATACAGAATGAATAAACCTACTACCCAGAGCTAAGCTTCTTAAGAGACCCAAAATGTACTATCTACTACTGATTTTATTCAAAAATAGAATGTCCACACACACACACACACACACTCCTATGACACTATAAAGGCATAAACGAAAAACCTCAGAAAAAGAGAAATCTTCTAAGATCTTTCAATTTCTCTCTCCCTAACTAATTTGCTATTAATATGTGTCCACCTCAGCCCTCTTACTTTTTCTCCTAACATAAACTTGTCCTCACTTCCTTTGCTCCTTCATTTCTTGGTCCAACATATTTTTGGGCTGTATCAATACCGCCCTCTTGAAAGATAGTCTTGTCCTTAAGATTAAGGGTTGGATATTGGGTCTTCATTGACATCTCATCCTCCCACGTTGCTTCTTCTATTGTTTTTCCCAGCCAATGCACTAGCCATTGGTTAACCCTTTCTTCCTGCTTGAGTATGCTTCGAGTAGCCAACACATTGCAACATATCTAATTGGTCCTCTTTTAGCCCTGTTGGCAATCCTTCTGCTGTTTTATACTCCCAAATGGCCTTCTTGAGTAATGAAACATTAAACACAGGGTGTATTTTCGAATTTGGTGGTAACTACAACCGATAAGCTACGTCTCAAACCCTTTCAACGACTTCAAAAGGCCCGTAGTACCTTGTGCTAAGCTTAGGACTCATGCGATATATAATAGAGTGTTGCCTGTGAGATTCAGTTTAAGAAACACCATGTCCCCTATCTCAAAACTTCTCTCCCGTTGGTGTTTGTTCGCTTGTGTCTTCATACGATCTTGGGAACACACCAAATTTCCTTTCAAGTGATGAATGACTTCATCTCTATCAATTAGTTCATGTTGAACCGCCTCTACTTTCACTTCTCCTCTTACAACTGGAATAATTATTGGAGGAGTGATAACGATAATTTTTACCATTATATGTGGTGCAATTTTCTTACCAAATCAACTTTCCTTAAGCTTGATTCGCGCTTAATCCTCTCTTTTATCTAACTTTTGTGAATAGGTTTAGTCTAGGCTATACTAAATGGGTTTCATCGCTAATTTCCTCATTTTGTAGGCAGATTGTGTACATTGGAAGAAGATCAAATCAATCAAGGAATTGGAACCCAGGAGAACTAGCAAAAGCACCAAACTTGAAGGCTGATGAAGTCTCGCAGTCACGCTTTGGCGCCCCCTCTTGGAACGCTGAGCGTCAGCCTCTCGTAGTCACGCCTAGGCTCCCCTTCCTGGGGCGCTGAGTGCCAACCTCTCGCAGTCACGCCTGACAGCCCTCTTGTGTGGGTGCTGAGCGCGACACTTGCTGATGTGGTACCCTAGTCCTATTTAAGGCTTCCATGCAACGAGGGTGGGGGACTCTTGGCGGCTGAAGCACGAAAACACCATCTTGGACCTCTTAGAGCAAGTTTTGGGCAGTGGGAGCTCTCCATTCATCTTCCTTGGGTCTTCATCTCCTCCATTTTCTTCCATTGTAAGCTCAAGCTCTCCATGACAATGAGAGCTATCCTGCCCCAGCCAACATTGCGGTGGTTAAGGAATTTTATGCTAATGCCCACTTCTACCCTGAAGACAGTATACCTTTCACAAGCTATGTATGGGGCAAGAGGGTTCCTTTTGATGCTGACACCATTAATGATTTCTTGGCTATTGAATGGCCAAGAGCAGGTGAAGAATGCCAATATGCCGAATACTTGGAAGGAGACCTCGACTTTGGGGAAGTTGAACGCGCACTGTGCCTACCAGGGGGCCACTTCTAGAGGAACAGACATGACCGGTCCATTCATATCTGACAGTCTTTCCTCACTCCTCTTGCAAAATACTGGATGACATTCATACATGCAATATTTCCCCTTGCTCACATGTCTCTTATATCACCATTCGTCGGGCCATCCTTCTTTACTACATCTTAAAAAGAGTCAGCATCAATGTCGGCTAGATCATCGCTAACGAGATCAAACAGTGTGCCCACGCTCCTAGTGCCAATTCTCCTTTAGGGCACCCCTCTTTGATCACCCACCTTTGTCAACTGGCTGGGGTGAACACCTATTCACCCCATTTGAGCGATCGCGTAAGGAGATTGATTCCTCCTACTTTACGCAATATTGTTTCACTGATGGCGATGGTTGCCCTCTTCCTCTACCTCAGCCTCCTAGGGTTCATAGGCGTCATTAGCCTGCCCAGCCAGATCAACCCTCAACTGACTCTTACTAGACGCGGGACAAGCACATGACATTATTGGATGCCAAGCTTGAGGCACTTTACAGAGGAGAGTTGATGATACTGAAAAATATGACTTCTGCCTTCCCGGAGCGCCAATTTATTTCTCCGGAAGACTTTATGTCTCACGTTGCTTGGCTTGGGGACCAGGCCCACTCAAGCGGGGGAGGTGGCACTTCCAGAACTCAACTGATGGAAGAAGATGAAGAAGAGGAAGAGGATGAAGATGATGAAGAAGAGGATGACGGGAGTGACGACAGTGACTCTTGATGGACCAAGAACCACCTTATGCTTGATTTATTTTCAATTTTATTTTGTTTTAAATTTTAGTCTTAATCGTGTCTTTAACTTCAAACTTGGCTAAATGGATGGTTCTTGTACAATGGTTTGGCATGCAGTAATAAACTTTTTGATTTGTTAGAATGAAAAATCTCTTGTGTTTGCTCTAATTCTTTGTGATTGATGTTGAGAATTTGTTGAGAAGATGATGTTAGTTGAGCTTTTAAGCACAAATGGTGGATGCTCATAGTTGTTTGGATAGATGATTGATTTTGATTGTGGTCAATATTCTTGGCATTTTGTTTGATAGATTTTGGAACCCCGAGTTAACCTATAAGATGTTGTGCCCCAGATTTCTTGCTGAATGCTATCACTTTGGAATCATAGTTGATTTTGCATGAGTTTCTCTGATTGATTCATTTGGTTGCTTGTTATACATGGTCAAGGCCATCTTATTCTTTTACGTCAGGCCATCTTATTCTTTTACGTCTTCTACAATTTTGAGTCGAAAAGCCAATGCAAAACCTTTGAACCTTGAACATAAACTTTCTCATTCCTTGAACCTTAAGCTAAATGAAAAGTCTTTGACCTCCTTACCTTGAGTTGAGTATTCATTTCTTGTTTAGGAGAATGGTTTAAGTTTGGGGCAGTTTGGGAGATCATGTTACAAAGGAACATTGAGAAAAACAAAAAGAAACAAGAAAGAAAAGAAAAATAAGAAAGAAGAATAAGATAAAAAAAGAAATTCAATGAATGAAAGCTGGAAAATGAATTGAGAATTGGTTCCATTTATTTTGAAGAAAAAGAAAATTATGTTATCATGCTTTGATTTGCCTGCTCTTTGGACTCAAGGTGCTTTGTTGTCCAGAAAAGTCAATTTTCCTTCTTAGCCCAGCCACAATACAAGCCTCAAAAAGTCCTTGTGATGTTAACTTACTTGTGAATGTGTTTGATATTGTTAAAATGAAAGACAAAGTTGATTTGTGTAACATTGTGATAGTTGAGAGTTAGACACACATTCTTATACACCATTGTGCTTGAGTGAAACACTTTCCTTGGTGAGGATTGGTTCCATGCATTTAAGGATAACATTTTTCTAAGGTTGTTGATCCCTCATAAAGTCTTTGCATCTGTCTTGTAATTTTTGTTTTGTGAGCACCATAGTTGAAGCTTGATTTGTTAGCACCTCATTATCTCTTGATTGGTATTTCCATGATGAGCAAACATGATAGATTTATTTGTTTTAACAGAAATTGCTTTCTTGAGTTGCTAGACCATTGTACTTGGGTTGTTCTATTTAAGTCAAGTTACATTTTTTGCTTGAGGATAAGCAAAGTTTCAAGTTTGGGGTTGTTGATAACGGTAATTTTTAGCATTATATGTGGTGCAATTTTCTTACCAAATCAACTCTCCTTAAGCTTGATTCACGGTTAATCCTCTCTTTTATCTAACTTTTGTGAATAGGTTTAGTCTAGACATACTTAAGGGGTTTCATCACTAATTTCCTCATTTTGTAGGGAAATTGTGTGCATTGGAAGAAGATCAAATCAATCAAGGAATTGGAACCCAGGAGAACCAGTAAAAGCACCAGACTTGAAGGTTGATGAAGTCCCGCAATCATGCCTGGGCGCCCCCCTAAGGCGCTGAGCGCTAGCCTCTCGCATTCACGCTTGGGCGCCCTCTCCTAGGGCGCTGAGCGCCAACCTCTCGCAGTCATGCCTGGGCGCTAAGCGTGACATTTGCTTATGTGGCACCCTAGTCCTATTTATGGCGGCTGAAGCACAAAAGCACCATCTTGGACCTCTTGTAGCAAGTTTTGGGCAGTGGGAGCTCTCCATTCATCTTCCTTGGGTCTCCATCTCCTCCATTTTCTTCCATTGTAAGCTCAAGATCTCCATGACAATTGAGAGCTAATTATGAAACTCTCTTGTAAATGCACTTGTTGTGAATGAATTTAAGCTTCTTTCATTGATTGTTAGTGTTTATTTCCTTCTCTTAAAGCTTGTTGTGACTTGATCAACTATAACATGATTCTTTGGTTTGCTTAATATTGGGAAATGTTGTGTGAACCTTGAACTGGACTAAACACCTAAAGAAAATTGTATCTAGGGATAGAACTTGGACCTTTAGTTGTCTTAATCCTCATTTCTTAATATGGATGAACTTGTTAGGTTTTCCAAGAGATTGGAGTTTAATGAGTAAGTCTAGGCTCTCTCCACCAAGGGATTGAGTTTGAGTATTTTAGTAGGTTGACATGAACAATTAAAGGAAGAAGAAGTAATGTTCATTTGCATGAGAGTGTAGTAGGTAAAATCATTCTCCAACATTTCCATTCCATATCATCTTTAATCATTTCATTTCCAAGTGTTTTAACCCCAAAAGTTCAATTTACAACTTGTGCACTATGTTTACTTTTATTGCACCGAAATCACATTAAATGAAATCCTTCTTTAGTCTAAATTAGTTAAATAATTACATGATTGTTTAGTGTCACATGAGTCTCTTCGGATACGATATCCAGTCTTACCGATTTATTACTTGATACAATTCGGTACGCTTCCCGAGGTAATAACAAGGAGGCCTCCCATGCCTCAAAGGGTGTAGTCGCTATATATTCATGGTAAGTGGTGTTAAACCATAATTATGCCCACGACAGCCAATTAATCGACAGTTTCGGTTGATCGGTGATGAAACAACGAAGGTATGTCTCCAAGCATCGATTGGTCACTTCCGTTTGACCATTTGTCTGTGGGTGATACGCTGAACTCATCCTTAACTTGGTCCCCTAAAACCTAAAAAATTCCCTCCAAAACGCACTTATAAACGTTGGGTCTCTATCACTTACCATTGACTTAGGTACCGTATGTAAACAAACCAATTCTCTGATAAAAATTTCAGCAATACTCTTAGCAGTGTATGGATGTTTTAATGGAATGAAATGACTATATTTTGTAAGTCTGTCAACAACCATCAATACAGTATCAAAACCCTTTGATTTTGGCAAGCTTGTAATAAAGTCTAAGCTTATGTCCTCCCATACCTGTTTCAGAATTGGCATCGGCTGTAATAATCCTCCTGGGGCAGCAGTTACATATTTTTGACGTTGACATGTGTCACACTCTTGAACAAATTTCATGATATCCCCATTCATTCCCTTCTAGTATAAGTTCGTTGTAGCCTTCTATAAGTCCGATAGAAGCCAGAATGTCCTGATTGGGGAAATGCTTGAAACTCTTTCAACAATTCAGGAATTCTAGATGATTGAGACGAAATAACTAACCTACCTTTATACTACAATACACCTTGTTGATAATTGAACCTTACATACTTACCCTTAACTCTTCCTTAGTGTTGTAATGATCTCCAACAACTCCTCATCCTTATGCACCTCATCAACTATCGCTGGATAATCCATCCACATTGGCTCAATGACAATTTTTCTTAACTCTACAACATCCTTACTTCGAGATAGGGCATCGACACCTTTGTTTTCACGTCCAGGCTTATAAACTATTTCGAAGTTATACCCCAATAATTTGGCCACCTAATTCTTTTGGCTCCCTGTTGTGATGCACTGCTACAAAATTTGTTTGAGGCTTCTCTGATCAGAAAAAACCTTAAATTTTCGCCCAAGAAAATATGGCCTCTAGTGTTGGATGGATAGAGCTACCACCATCAACTCTTTCTCATACGCTGACTTGGAAAGATTCTTAGGGCTTAAAGCCTTGCTGTAATAAGCAATAGGTTGTCTGCCTTGTATCAAAATGGCCCCAACATTAGTACCTGATGCATCACACTCAAGTTCGAATTCCTTCTCAAAGTTAGGCAAACACAGACATGGAGCATTTGTTATCATTCTCTTCAACTCATCAAAAGCCTTTTGGGCATGTTCATTCCAATTAAAACTATCTTTCTTAGTTAGTTTAGTTAAGGGGCACACAATGTTTCCATAGTTCTACATAATTAATCTTCATGATTTGCTTCTTCTAATCTACCCACATTTCTCCCAATGGCGCCAGCCATGCCATGCCAAGGATAAGATCAATATCATCAAGTTCGAATAAAAACGCATCCACTACGAACTGCCCTGTCTCTAGAACAATCTTCAACCCTCGACAAACCCCTCCTGTTTTTGTTTGATGCCCATCTCCCATCAATATACACATCCTCCACATGTTCTTCCATCCTCATCCCATTGCTTTCACTAACCTTCACGAAACGAAGTTATGACTGAATCTATTAGAATGATGAGAGGTACTCCTTTGATCATTTCTCTTAGTTTCATTGTTCTAGACGCATCTTGAGTCTCTTTTTCTAGCACAAAGAGACTGATGGCACTGCATACTCCATCAACTTCCTCCGTTTCACTCTCGTCGTCACTCTCTAGGATTTCTTCTTCATCTTGAAACTCAACCTGTATCTCAATCTCAGCCACTAGGGCCTTCAATTGTTTAGTTAGACATTAATGAGTTGGCCCATACGACCCAACACACTTGAAACACAACCTTTTTTTTTCTATCCACCAAATCCTGATAATATAAGTGACGCACGCCCCTCTCACATACTCCTGCTGACCCCTTGTCATTTACACCACCCTTTTAGTTTGGGCCTGACCCATTACTCCATCCATTAGCTCCATACCCTTTTTAACCCACTCGTCCCATTATGTTGGATCTGGTTTTGTGACCCAAATTATCACCTCCTATTACATTCGTCTCACTCTGCTTCTGCCATCCTCTGTTTCACCTTGAAACTTCCAAGTCAACGACACGAGTAACATTCATCAAACGTCCTCTAGTTAGAGGATTCGCGATATGTTGTTAACCCTCGGCAAGTGTAACCGAATCGTATCAAGTAATAATAAAATGGTAAGACCAAGTATCGTTTCCCAAAGGACTCACGGCCTAAACAGTTATGTGATTTGGTGATTAGATTAGACTTGTGAACGAATTCTTGTAGGTTTAAATGCAAATACTGAAAATTAAATATTAATGCATGTATTGATCAATTGGATCAAAAGAAGAAAAAGTGATTGATGTAAATTATGGAATGATGATGTTGTTGGGGTTTTCGATTCATCCTATCCACTCTCATGCATTCAAGAATTCATCTTTCTTCATTAATGTTAATGCCACTTTCTAATTTACCTTAAACCCGATGTCTCGGTGAAGAAAGCCTACTCCTAATCACTAGTTTACAATGTCTTGTCTCCTTAGCAATTATTCATGCATTACATTCGCACAGAAGCTTAAAGGCAACCAATCCTCCTATCCCTATGTCTAGGCAATATTACTATTGAGAGAATTTTTCAGTTCTAGATTTACTTATATGTGTCCATACAAATAACATCAATGATCATGCAATTGAATGAAAGAAAGCATATATTATAAAGAATCAATTCAAAACATGAGAGTTCCAAAGGATTACAACGGTTCCCCAACAACAATGAAGGTTTAGTTTACCATAATCAAGGTGAAACTAGATGAAAAACAATGAAAGAATGAAAGATAGAACCCTAGAAAGTTGAGAAAGGAGTTTTAGCATCCAAAATCCTCCTCCAAGGGGTGAAGTTTCGCCTCTGTCTACCAAAAGATGTCTATCCTAAGTCAACTAAACCGCTTTTATAATTTCTAAAAATTACAATAAATAAGCCCAAGCCCATAGAAATGGCGCTCAACGACACTTTTGCCACTCAGCGGTAATGCGACTCTTCAGAAGGAAGCTCAACTGCATTTTTAGTCCTCAACGGTGATTTCGGCACTTCAAAACTGGCGCTTAGCACCAATTTCCACTCAGCGCAACTTTTTCTGCACTCTAGTTTACTTTTCTGCATTCTGATTGACTGATTGACTTTTCTGGTTGATTGGTTGACTGGTTGACTTTTCTGCATTCCAACCATTCAGTACTTTAACTCTTCTTTCAAATCATTCCAATAACCTACAAAATCAAAGGAATCTATCATAAAACCATTAAATTTACCTTCAACTCTCTTATTTATAAAACTAAAGCAAAAACATGATTTAAAGCAAGTTTCTAAGTCAAAAAGGGTTGATTGATTATCAAAATTAAGTATAAAAATAACGGTTTTTCAATTGTTATCATATGTAAGCTTCATACCTTAGCCTGAACCTCCTCTCTCAGCCCATGGGTAACGTACAAGAAGTATTGCTCATCATGGAGTTTTGGAATTTGAGCGATCAAACATTTGAATCGTCCAATATACTCATCCATACTCCTTATTTGCTTCAACGCCGTCAACTGATCATATATGCTCCCTTCCCCCATTCCTCCATAACATTCAAGCAACTCCTTCAAATTATCCCATGACAAAAACATCGTAATCATTTAACAAAGAGTTGAAAAAATGTATTGTCCCTCCTTCTATACACAAATGAGCCAGGCTCACTTTCACCATCTCGCTGGTCTCCTGAACCTTGAAGTGAATCTTCGCTCCCGAAATCCATCTAGTAGGATCGTCGCCATTGAACATCAGTAACTCAATCCTTTCTACCGATTATCGAAACTCTGCCAGAGCATCTCCTTCTAAGGCAATCAAGTTCACTCCAGCCTTGGTGTTTTCCTTGGGCTCTATTTTTTTGTTTCCCACCGAACCTTCACCCTCTTCATTAATCCTTTTCTCAAAACTCCTCGTCATGAACTCCGTCATTTTTGTTTGATGTTATGCAACTTCTTTTCTCATCTCTTCTAGTGCGGAATGATTATGAGATGCTTGTAAACGCAACTCTTCCGTGATTGCTTTCATTCAAGTAACTTCTTCTTCCACATACCCTGCCCGATCCTCTATAGTTCCCGAAACCACTAGTTCTCCTTGCTTTTTGCTATCTACTCGAGTGATAACCATTCACCCCTCGAATGAAGTATCCAGCAGGTCGGACAAAAAATGATAGGAAACCATAGAATAAGTAATGAAATAAGAAGAAAAGGGAATAAAGAAAGGATCACTAATTCTGCTTCATTGAAATCAAGGCAAATACAAAAGGAATAAACCTACTGCCCAGAGCTAAGCTCCTCAAGAGACTCAAAGGTATTGTCCAATATTGGTTTTGTCCAAAAACAGAATGTCCACACACACACTCCTCTAACACTATAAAGGCAGAAATGAAAAACCTCACAAGGGAAATATTCTAAGATCCTCCAATTTCTCTCTACCTAACTAATTTGCTATTAATTTGTGTCCACCTCAGCCCCCTTACTTTTTCTCCTAACATAAACTTGTCCCCATTTCCTTTACTCCTTCATTTCTTGGCCTAACATATTTTTTGGCCCAACATATTTTTTGGCTGTATCAACTACATTATCAACCAACAAAACTTAACATCATCAAGCAATGTCAAAACTGGAGACATCGTGCCATCATTAATTTCTACACCCTCAAGCTCCATGCAATGTAGCACTTGGAACGCCATGTCACGATCACCAACTCGTGAATAGCCAGTACCAAGTGTATTCCATGAAACGTAATTGCGCTCTGGCATACTCTTAAAAACAATGTACGCATCATCAACTCTCCCACACCTTGCATATAGGGATGACAACGGGTCGAGTCGGGCACAGATAGTGCCTACCCACAACCCGACCCGCAAGTAAAAATTTGACCCACAACCTGCCCGATACTTGCGCGGGTACCCACTTAAAGAATTCTCGTGGGTATTTTAAAACCACGGATATCCGCAAAAAATTTAAAAAAAGTATTTTATACATTTTTAAAATAAAATTTAAATAAAATTACAAAACAAATTTATATAATATAATATAAATTAAATTAAATACAAATTAAAATTTAATTTTAATTAAATTTAACCTAATATAATATAATTTTATTTTATTTTTAATTAAATTTAATTAAAAAATATATAAACTATTTTTTTATTATTTTTTACGGTAATGGGTACCCGCGGCGTACCTGATGTGTTTAGAAGTGGATACTAAAATATCCACTACCCGTTACCCGCATATAATAACTACTCGCCACGGACCATACCCGTAGATTTTTTTGCCAAACCTACTTGCATACATATCCAAGAGGGCACTACTAGAAAACATGTTTTCTACTAAACCTGTCTTGAACATGACAAAATGCATATGTTGACCCAATTTAAGCTCGCCAGCTAGAGCAACACCCTTGAGAATGCTTCCTAATGTGTGGCTGTCAAATGCAAATGCAAACCATCTAATTGGACTGGCGATTTTCCATATGGTTCCCAGGTGACCATAGTTTGCATAAGCAGAAATTATGGCATCCCAAGACATTGTATCTCTATGGGGCATTCCTTCGAACAGTTGGTGAGCATAACTTAAATATGTGCATTTTGCATACGACGATATGAGGTTGTTGGCGATGTGAAGGTCTACAATGGATCCTAACTTGATGGCTTTGCAATGGGTTGCTTTGTGCCCAAACCTAGTGAAGAAGTGCAACTTCTTCATTCATAAGGGATGATGATATCCTAGTTACAAAAAGTTGTCTTTCAAGATTGAAATTTCACATGATCTAGTTAGACAACGAACAACTTAAACACCAAAAAAATACTACTTTACAAACGTCAATATAGGGAATGGTGTTTGTAGACGAATCGATTACACGATATTACCCTTATTCAGGTCAAGACCCAGGCCTTCAATCTAACTGCATGTTGCCTCGCCCTAGAACCGATAGACAAACAATATTCTTCATTATGTATGTTCATGATCATTATGTAAGCAACGATAGTTATTTTGATCTCACCTTTATGAATTAGTGAGATGTTTATCTTACCCTTTGGACGAGATACATATATTCAAAATATTTTTTAACAATATAATTTTATAATTAACAAGATAATATAATTGTTATTCTCATAATTTTAAATATTTTTCTTTTATATTTTTTTTTCAATTCTTTCTAACTTCTTAATCAACTTTTATGTTAAATTATATTAATTTAATATTGGGTTAATGTGATGATTATAAAAATATAAATGTATACACTTTTTGTATGTTTCGTATTGTCGTATTTTAGAATGAGAGTCCCAATCTAATTTATAGAGATCTCACTCAAGGATGCATCCAAAAATTTGTTGTCAGTTAATTAACGTGTGATAATCAATTATCCACTTATGTCATGCTTGTGCTTCCTTTCAATACTAAATATTTCACCATTCAACTTTACAATTTTGGACTCCAAGGCATTTATATTCTCCATCGAGACTTCACAAACACATATCTTATAGAAGGATGTCTCTACGAGACTATGTTGCATTGCTTAATATTGATAAATCCTGCAAAAGGTTAGCAAAATAAAATAAAAGAATATATTTAGATTCTTACCACTTGTTTAAGTGTTTCACTCAAATTTCACTCGTGTATCACACTTATACGTTTTTTCTTGAATGTATTCTCTTGCCTTTTACCACTCAAATACTCTTTAGCACTTGAAAAAGGACTCTAATAACTTATGTAAAAAGTGAACAAAGAATGTGAAAAACATTACGAGATCTAAATCTTGACTCAAGAGGTCAGAGAAAATAGAAAACTCTAAGCAAAACTTCAAGGAATTTTTTTAAAAGACAAAATAATAAATTTAAAAAATTATAGGACTAACAAAAATAGTTAAATGAGACAACGCGAAGACTCTAAAAAAAAGACTAAATATAATTTAATAGATTAACAATCATAAACAATAGTGGTACACAATAATTTGTGTTGAAATCTACAATTTTTATTTATTTTTTACTCTTGGATCCTTACTTTCTCTTTTTTTTTCAACACATATTTATTTCATTTTGACTTGGATCCAATATATATATATATATATATATATATATATATATTTATTTATTTATTTATTTAATTTGGTAGTTCAACACACAAACAAAGATTGTCCTTCAAACACCAAAAATCATGCAAAATCAAGGTAAACATTTAACTGGGGCTACAATTAATAAAAAGCACAATAAAAGAAAAACAAATAATTTTCACAAATCAAAAGTAGAAATATACAAATTAAAAGAAGGACATAAAAAATACCAAAATTAAAAACTCAAGGGAATTAGATAAAGTATTGGGTTTTTTTTTTAATATGACTGAAAAATAAGATAAAAAAGGATATTCAAACCAAAACCTTGCTCTAGATACCAGATTATATGATCCTTTCTAGGAAAGAGTACGATTTTTTTCGAATTTGAATCCTCAAAAGGCATAACAAAAATAAAACAGGGTAGAATGCAGAATAAGACAAAGATAGGGACACCACAATCTAAGAAACTGATAAGTCATGTGAAGATTCATCACAGAGATGTTAATCTATGATAAAATCACAGTTCTAATCCAAGAACCAAGAGAATCCTCTCTCAAAAATACAAATGCATATATTATGGCTCAAAACTGTTAGATATGATTTTGGTACCTATATATATATATATATATATATATATAGGTACATATATATATATAGGTACATAAGTTTAAGAAAACTTAGAAACCCTAAACTAAAGGCTAAAGCCCAAACCACATAAAAATAACAAAAAAAATGAAAATTATATAAAATTAATATAAAATTAAAATTCATTTAATTTCCTAAATTATTCTTCAATTGTGCTTATAATCTTTATGCTCTTTAAATTCCCTCCTTGATGAAACATTATAGGATTCAAGGAGACATGTTTTGATATTGGACCTTGTCATACATCCTTTGAATTACAAATGTTTGTCCTCAAGTTCTTCTCATATATGTTTTAGGAGATAGTCCTCTATCACAACTCATGAAGGTACCTGCTTCAACAAAGCTAAAATAGGAAAGAAGAACAAGAAGGACAAAACCCTAATGAAAGTGAATAAGGGTAGTATTTAGAAGGACAAAAAATGTTTCTTTTGCAAGAAAGTGGGTCACTTTAAGAAAGATTGTATGAAAAGAAAATCTTTCTATAAAAGGACATTGATTACTACTCATGTTTCTAATATTATTCAGGGATTCCTTTCAATCTAGATCATAAAAGGACATTGATTACTCTTTGGATCTTGAAAAGTGTCTCTATGTTCCTGGTTGTTCTAGGAATTTAATTTTTGTTACAAAGTTGGATTGTTTAAGTTTTAATTTTAGGATTGGAAACATGATTTTTCATTTGTATAAAGTTTCTTACTATTATGGTTGTAGTACTTTATTGGATGATTTGTATCGTTTAAATCTTAATATTAATTTTTCTGAATCCCTTTATAATGCTGAACACGTTATTGGTAGTAAATGTAGTGTTGGAAATGAATGTTCTGTTGTCTTATGACATAAAAGATTCGGTCACATATCCAAAGAAAAGATGTTGAGGTTAGTGAAAAATAAATTTTTACTCAACTGGATTTTCATGACTAGGATATATGTATTGATTGTATAAAGGGTAAACAAACAAAACACATATAAAAGAATCTCGCCACAAGAATCAGTCAACGTCTTAAGTTAATACACACCAATTTTGTTGTCCTTTTGACATTAAATCTTGG